GCTCTTGTTTTGTACGTTTAGAACGGCCGTGGATAGAGGGTTGTGAAGGAAATATTCCTAAATACTCTGCAATAGCAATGTTCATCACGTCAAACCCTGGCATTCTGTCGAACCAACTTATACGTTTTTTATGGACGCGTCGCGTGCAAGGGTCAAGTAATACCGTTTCAGTACAAAAATCTCGTCCAAATGTGGCTGTGGTACGGTTATTTGTTTCACCATCTTACAAAACATATCTGCGCGTTTCAAAATGGTAACGAGATTTCCCGTCGTTGTCAAAAGAAAATAGGTGTCCTTAACTGATGTCGATTTTGTGTTCCAAGCACCACAATCATCAACGAATTCCCTCCTCCTATTATTGTCCATCCGCGATTTGTTGGTCGTATTATCAATTATGAAATATACATTATCTTTACGACCAGAGGGGACAGTGGTGTGAGCGTCGCTTAAATTCGCCGTCTGTACCATCAAGTAAACCTCAGTCAGAGATAAAAACTTACCGTTCGTCAGTTTGTTTTATTCTTCTTCTTCTTCTTTCAGGTAAGGAACCGAATTCAATAAATGGATGTATTTGGTTCCGCGAGAACTTTGCACAGTGTCGGACAACACAGAAAGTATTCTCTTGGCTATTTACATTAAAACGTTCTCTATATGTATACAATTAAAATTATGTACAGGATGTTACTGTCTAGATTTTAGCAGAGCATGCCTTCAGGGCAGCTCTGAATCCTTTAACTGTGTTGGCTGATGTCGCTGATGTTGGTAGTTGGTTCCAGTCCCTGATGGTCCTTGGGAAGAATGATTGGCCGAAGGCGTCTGTTGTAGCCCTTTCTTGGTAGAAGCGGTTTTTACCTCTGGTCCGGCTATCATTTGGCGTCAGATATTGTTGCCGATCTATGTCTATTAGATCATGTTGTATTTTAAACAGCATGGATAGCCTATTTTGTTTTCTGCGGTCTTCAAGGCTTTCCCATTTTAATGATTTTACCATGTTTGTTACACAGCCAGGTGTGCGGTCTGTATAGTTGTTGTTTACAAGTCTGGCTGCTCTTTTCTGCACTTGTTCGATTGCCTTTATTTTGGTCTGTTTTGTTGGATCCCATACCGTGGATGCATATTCAACTGAAGGTCTTACTATTGTTGAATATGCTGCTGCTTTAACCGTTTTAGTGCAATCTTTTAGGTTTC